CGGTTCTCGCGCGTCCGCGTCTTAAAACGCAGGAAGTCTTAGATCTAACACTGATAAAGTAATCGCCGCTAATCGACTTCCCGTTTCTGAAAATCTCCACGAAAGAAAAGAATCGTGGAGTCCTCAGGACGTAACAAATAAATGATTGGCAACTAAAGTAGAGATGTTGAATTTGCAATCCATTGTTCCACGCACAGAGGTAATAAATTTGCTTAATATTAGTGCTCTTTCTTTATATATTTTTACGGACGATATCTTTTCACATGTTGATAATTCTTTTATAAAACGGAATGTATCGTTTTCTGTTTGTTCGAGATAATTGTGAAAACTTGCCCAATCATAATACGCAATTAACAATGTCTGCGCAATGGCGTCGAAGGGACATGTATTTATTAATAAAACTGGTTTCTTTTCGAGTATCACTGGAGCTAAAATACTACCGTTTTTTGGTAATATTACAGTTCTAGTAAACTTTGGTTTTACATGAATGCTTTCCACATCTGGACAAATGGTTAAATATTTACCACGATTCTTAGGATTTTTGTTTTGGCCTCTCCAATTTTCTTTTTCATTTAAATAACTTGTTAAATCTGTACGTTCTTCATTAATTGTGTTATTAGATACATCCTCCATATCAATATCTTCGATATTATTAGATGAAACGTTAACACTTGTTTCAATTTTTTCGTCTTGAGTGATTGAAGCTGTGTCTGAATTCCTCAAAGTTGTCGCTGAAATATTTATTTCATTACAGTTATCAGTATTGATATTACATAAAGCAGGGGACCTAACTTTATTTAAATTGATTTTATCATTAGAAATGTCATCATTAGCATCAGTATCAGCCGCATATAGCATTTTTATGGCACCAGTAAGTGTTCTAATGTGCGTAACTATAAATTAAATTTATCGGCACGTATGCATTTAGTTTTAAAAACCAGTTGTTTCAATTCTCTAAAATATTCTTCGCTGCAGGCAGAAGATGCTGTTTGTGCTGACATTACTCCTGTCCATAATGGAAAATGTTGAATAATTTCAAGAAAACTTTTAGCAAACTCAGGGCACCAATATGGATTCGGCCTATCTTCTTTAGTACTATCTTTGGTTCACTCTTTGATTGAATGCATTGCAAAAAATTCTTCATTTTTGTACCGCATTCATCGTTATCAAATTCGTTTAATTTATCATCATCAAGATTTGTCTCGTCATCATTGTCGTACAAAAATTCATCACTCTTAATTAAGCGAATCAATCTCTGTTGTGCATTATAACAGTTATTTTTTTTTTTAGCATGTATATTTTCAGTATCGGAAATGCTTGTTAATAATTTGGATATCGTGACAAATACGGCGGAATTTATCAATGTCTGTACATTTTGTTAATACACCAACGCAGCGTACATAAAAATCTTTAATT